CTCCAGGAGCTCCTCAGCCAGCTTTGCTGGCTGAGGAACTCGGGGAGTTGAAGTCCACAGGTCTTAAAGTTGCCAAGGTTGGAGACCACTGAATTAAAGCATACTCCAAAGTATGAGAACAAAACTTTAATTGAACCTCAGATCTGTCCTCCAGCAGGAAGGTGGATTAACTTAAGTTGCCTTGAGTTTCTTGGAACAAGAGTCCAGTTTAAAAAAAACTGGGTTTGTTTGTAGGTTAATAAACTAAGGATAACTCCACATTTATTCTTGAAATTTTAGCCAGAAAAAAAAAAAGATAGTAAAAGAGGCCAACATTTCCTTGAGTCAGATGTAACTGGATCCATGCTGTTGTAGGAGCAGTTTGCCTTTGCCTTCTAATATGTTTTTTCTAGTATAGTCAACTTATCCAATGCACCTCTTTCAAGTCTTAATCAGAGCCAGACCGATTAGTACTTAAGTACTGATTATATAGTTTTCTAGATCAGGAAGGTGCTGCTATAATAGTCTCTAATGTCATCTAAAAGATAGAAGTCATAAAAGGGCCCCTGGTAAGCTTAAGTTTGCATGCGTGCACTTACTACATGTAATACAAGCAGTCCTTGTTTTACAACTGTTTAATGACCATTCAAAGTTATGATGGTGTTGAAAAAGGTGACTTACAACTGGTCCTCAGGCTTAAAACTGTTGTGGTGTCCCCTTGGTCATGTGATCACAATTTGGGTGCTTGGCAACCTTCATGTATTTATTATGGTTGCAATGTCCCAGCAACCATGTGATTCACTCAACGACCACAGTAAAAAAAAAGGTTGCAAAATCAGTTGTGACTCACCATGACATCCCTTAGCAAAGGAAGTTATCCCAATAGTGTTGTAAGCTGAGGACTACCTGTAGATGGTTCAGGCCATATGAAACAAAATCAACATGAGAAAATAAATTATTTGTAGATTTTTGAAAGCAAAAAAATATTAAGCTATTTAAAGCTAAATATTGGAAAGAACCGTAAGAGAGATAGTTTCTGTTTTTTAATTTCACAGAATATTAGTTTCCTGTTACCAAAGTTACTCTTTTTTTTTCTCTTTTAGCTGGGTGTGTGTTTGTCCTAGCAAGAAAGTTTGTTCCTTATGCATGTTTTGGTCTATTTGGAATTATTTTTATGCAGGTAAGTTGAAAATTACACAGAATAATATCCAAATCCCACAGCCGGAATGTGTGGTGCAATTCATTCACAGGATTTAGTTCTATAATCACATTACAGTTTAATATATACGGGACTCATGCAGACTTCTATATGTATTGTGAAAATCTAAAATATTACAGCTATTTGTATAATTATTATTAGAAACCTAAATAAAGCTATCAACTAGCTTTGGTTAGTACATATTAAATAGTCAATTGACAATGTTTTTTCTCTAGAGTTTCTGGGTATTTTAGGGGGAGAATGAATACAGAATGTTTTTTCATGATTCTTGTGATTGTTACCACATTATTCTGAGTTATTTCTACTTTCATCACACATTTATTATGTGAGAAACAATAAAGTAATGTCAGAAATGTTGGGCAAAACAGTTTAAGGGAAAATTGATATAAAACGTTTTACAGGTGGTCTATAACATTGCCAGTGATTGCCAAAATAGATAAAGCAAAAAACCCACAAATGTTGGAAATGCCATAATACAAAATATCATTTTGTAACATGAGATAGTCATGCAAAAAATCTCGCAAAGTATTGAAAAGAACTGCGTGAAAAAAATAGTAAAAACAGCCTAAGCATAATCCTAATAAATATAAATAAAAACTACCAGTATTTAGCAAGATACAGGGCGGGGCATAACCTTTTCCTAGGGGGTCACAGCAACACTTGTAATAACAACACAAATAATTCATACACCATTCGAAAGCCCATCAAAAACTGAGTTTATTGACACGATTTAATAGTCAGTATGACCACCATTAGCCCTTCGAACAGCATTCAAACGAGGTGGATAAGAACACAACAAATCTTCAAACAGTTCCGTTCGATTTTCCAGATTTTTCAACACAGTTTCCAAATTCATTCTCAAAGTTTCAACCGAAACAAATTTAACATTTAATAGCTCATTCAATTCAGTTTTTTATGGGCTTTAAAATGAGGTGTCGCGGAAGTTGTAAACTGCTGTCGATCTTGCTGTGACCCCCTAGGAAAAGGTTATGCCCCGCCCTCTGGAAAATCTGGAAAATCGAACGGAACTGTTTGAAGATTTGTTGTGTTCTTATCCACCTCGTTTGAATGCTGTTCGAAGGGCTAACGGTGGTCATACTGACTATTAAATCGTGTCAATAAACTCAGTTTTTGATGGGCTTTCGAATGGTGTATGAATTATTTGTGTTGTTATTACAAGTGTTGCTGTGACCCCCTAGGAAAAGGTTATGCCCCGCCCTGTACATATTAACTGCAGCAAGAATAAGCTTACCACAATATTGGAAAATAGATATCTTGGTTATGATGTTGGATTGGGATACTAATATTGGAAAATATGCTGCAATGGCAACATTGCCATTATATATTTACAATATATGTTTACAGATACTTTTACAGAGCAAGGCAGACTTAAATGTTGAATACCTTTTTTCTAGGATTTAAACGGGAACTTTAAAAAGTGGCTAGTGCTTGATATAGATAAGATATCAAATATCTAAACAAAGTCTTAATAGTTAGCAGCAAAAAGGGAAGAGAAGGGGAATCTCGCTATGATTTCTTTGATTTTTAATTTAAAAAGTATTTTTGTGTCATCTTTTTTTCTGCTTTCTTTGCATTCAGTTTAATTTTTCATACTCTTTGTATTTCAACACTTTCATAATTAATATATTTAAATTTTATTTTGTAAAAAAGAAAAGCATAGTATAATGGTATTTCACCAGCAGTTTGCGAACCCAGGTTCTACTATCTAAACCTAAATGGAGGAATTAAACCATGCTTAGCTATCACTTCTCCTCATTTAAGATGGCTACAAATTGGAAACTTCCCACTCAGTTACCTCCCATTGCTGCAGGATTATTTAAGGAGTAGCTCTCCCAACTGCTTTTGATTGAGTTACTGTGTTTCTGATCATTTAGGGGGAAAAAATAGGGAGATGCCAGTTTATTAGCCCATTCCAAGGAGGACTGAGACCCCAGCCGAAGATGAAAGAACCAAGCCTAAATCACAGATTTAGTTGTATGAATGTGTCCAGTTAACATGCACAGTGGTACTTTGACAAGGAGGAATGGTTTTCAAAAGTGAATAAAATGAAGCCTTGCAATAATTGTTCATAGCTATTCAGCCAAAATGGTAATTGGTGTCCATATAGTTACTATATCCCAACATCTGTTTGTTTTTCAGACAATTGTCTACAGTATTTTATGGGACCTCAAGTTCTTAATGAGGTAAGTGAAGCCCTAAGGCCCTATCTGTTCGGTCTTCCCAAGGAAAACTGGCTAGATATTTTGGCAAAGATTCCCTGTATTCGTATAAAGCAAGGGCGTTAATTTTAATTAACGTAAACATTTTGTGTGTTTACATTTATGTCTGAGAAGAGCTTTATTGCCAGGCTGGTGATAGAAATAAATTACTGTGGAATAAATGGGAGAGCTAGGTTGGTCTAGCCCCAAGAGAGCAGTTTAGTGATACACAACTCAGTAACCGAGAGGAACTTGATCCAACTGCCTTGTGATTTTTACTCTAGAAGTGCCTACCTAAATTCTGTTTCTGTTTCAATATTCTCCATGTAGCACTCTTGAATTAAATTTGTTTCTACGAGCCCCTGCCTATTGAAAGAATGTCAACACTGAGAAATAAAAGCGTGACCCGTCAAAACCGCGGTAGACAAAAGCGCGCTCGACGAAAGCACGTACCTGACGTCATCAGCAGCGCGACAAAAAAATTAAAAATAAATTAAATTGAAATTAAAATAAAAT